GAGGGAGGGTGACCCATGCCAGCTGCTTGTAGGCCTCTCACAATTGCCAGGGTGCCCGGCCCCTGCCTGGCATCTGGTCGGATCCACCAGATCTTCTTTCTAACACCCCACCATCTCACCCTCCAGGTATCTCCCTGAACGGCCCAGAAGCTTCCTTGACCTCAGTGTGAGGCTCCGGCTCCTGGGAGAAATGTTCACGCTGCTGGGGTTCCTCGTGAGGTGCCAGGGTCACGCAGGACTAGCTGGCCCTGGGAGGGAGAGGACGGGGCAGAAGAGCACCCGTGTCCTCGCTCAGCCCTTCCGCGCGAGAGGGGAACCCTTCCGCTCTGCCTCTAGCCGAGGTGCTGCTCCTTTCTCAGCCCCCCCCTCCCGAGAATCTGGGAGCCCCACAAGGTTACCTTGGATGAGTCCTGACGCTGCTCCAGGGATGCCCTCGATTTCCGTGACGTTGTTCTGCTCAAAATACTCATCACAGGTGGCATTGAGGAAGCGGGAGGTGCAGAAGAGTTCCCACAGCTGGGAGCCAATGGTCTCGTTGCCCACTTGGACCACCTTGGCACACACGTCGAAGCCATGGCGGGACAGGGTCCGATTCCCCAGCAGGCAGATCCTAGAAGGGGGGGAGATGGTTAGCCAATGGGGGTGGGTGAGTGGGTCCCACAAAGGGCATGGCATCTTTCCCCCCCCCCAAGGATGGGAGCTGGCTAGCCTCCCCACCCAAGGGGGACTGTGGCTCTTCTTGTTGGCCAAGGGCAAGCTTTCCTAGGTTGCCAGAGAAACGGGTCCTGGCCAGACCCCATGTGGCTGGGCTGCCTGCCCCGCCCCAGTTTGAGCACCTCCCGAGGCAGGTCCCCCCCCCGCCCTGCCACCAACCAACATCAGATGTAAGTTAGCCACCGAGGAGTGTCAGTGACAACGATGGCTTGGCAATGAGTGGCTCCACTCAATACTTGCGGTTTGCCTCTATATAACCACACTGTATCATTCTTCTTGTTTGTTAGTTCTGAATCTCATTATTATTAGGTAAAGGTAAAGGTGCCCCTTTCCAATTGTTGCCCAGTCGTGTTCGACTCTAGGGGGCGGTGCTCATCCCCGTTTCCAAGCCATAGAGCCAGCGTTTTGTCCGAAGACAATCTTCCGTGGTCACATGGTCAGTGCGACTTAGACACGGAACGCTGTTACCTTCCCACCAAAGTGGTCCCTATTTATCTACTTTGCATGCTTTCGAACCGCTAGGTTGGCAGGAGCTGGGACAAGCGACGGGCGCTCACTCCGTCGCGTGGATTTGATCTTACGACTGCTGGTCTTCTGACCCTGCAGCACAGGCTTCTGCGGTTTAGCCCACAGCACCACCACGTCCCTTCTCATTATTATTATT